GCCACTGCAGCTCCCTCAGCTGCTCCTGGTACTCCAGACCCTTCCCCAGCTCCATTCCCTTCTCTGGGCACACTCCAGCACCTACATCAAGATTGCAAGGACCCCAAAACTGACCCCAGGATTGGAAGTGCCTCACTAGTGCCCAGCACAGAGAGGCAGTTACTGTACTGGGCCTGTGGCCACACCATTGCTGGTACAGGCCAGGTGCCCTTTTTCCTTCTTGCTCCCCTGGGCACATCTGGGCTCATATTCAGCCACTGTTGACCAGCACCCCCAGGTCCTTTCTAACAGTCAACTTTCCAGCCACTCTGCCCTAAGCCTGTACCTCTGCTTGAGGCTGTTTCCTTTTGTCCTGTCCTTTATTCTCTGGGAGCAGAGCCTGACCCTCACCTGGCTGCACCCTCCTGTTAGGGAGTTGTGGGGAGTGAAAAGGTCCCTCCTGAGCCTCCTTTTCTCCAGGCTGAGCCACTGCAGCTCCCTCAGCTGCTCCTGGTACTCCAGACCCTTCCCCAGCTCCATTCCCTTCTCTGGGCACACTCCAGCACCTACATCAAGATTGCAAGGACCCCAAAACTGACCCCAGGATTGGAAGTGCCTCACTAGTGCCCAGCACAGAGAGGCAGTTACTGTACTGGGCCTGTGGCCACACCATTGCTGGTACAGGCCAGGTGCCCTTTTTCCTTCTTGCTCCCCTGGGCACATCTGGGCTCATATTCAGCCACTGTTGACCAGCACCCCCAGGTCCTTTCTAACAGTCAACTTTCCAGCCACTCTGCCCTAAGCCTGTACCTCTGGGGAGGGTTGTGGTGACCCAAGGCAGGACCAGCGACCCCTAGCCAGCCAGTGGCACAGGACTTCCAGGACTTTGTTAGGCACGAGGTCAGTACCACTTCATAGCCTGCAAACACTAAAGCTGCTTGCATTAGGTGTACTCATCAACAACAGTGGTGTAATATATTGCATTGAGATAGCTTTTAATTTATGCCAAATATATTGCAATGGAAGGACTTGTGTAACAGTATATGGTATGCATTAGTTGAATACTGAAAGATTTGGTAAAAGTTAATACAAATTTTATTCTAAGATCTTTCTAGTTGCTTCTTGGATAATACCATGCAGAGCAATGTAGCCACATTTCTCTTCACAGAGAAAAGCAAGGCACAAATTCCCAAGGATATTCTGGGATTCACATTCTCTAAACCTCAGAGAAAGGAAAAACAATTCTTATCTCATTTGCTGTGCCTGTGTTGTGCCAAAATAGAATGCAGTATGGAGATTGTTTACCCAAAGTGATGGTGTTTTGTTTCCTTGGCTCATCAGGGCCGAGTGTGTGTGTATGTTGGGACTGTCGGCAGACAGTCACGAGTTGAGTGCAGTTGAGAGCTTGGCAGATTCAGTTTAGATGTAATATAATATAGTATAGAATAATATAGTATAATAAAGTAATTAATTAGCCTTCTGATATCAATGGAATCCTCCTCATAATTTTTCCCTGCTTGAGGGTCGCTTTGATTACTGTAGAGCTATAGTGGGTGATCTCAGGTGTCTGACTTCCTTTTTCTTTGTTATTCCATTCCTCAGAGAGTGTTCTATTTGGAACCAAACTCACAGTGAGACTGAAAGGCTGAATAAAAACTCAGATGGAGTTTTCAGGTTTGAGTTCAGTCATATAACCTGTCATCTCCTTTTAGTCCTGTAGCTACCTGAGAGAATGTCAACATTTCAGCCTTTGCCATTAGAGCTTCCTAAATTTCTAGAACTCTGGTTGCTGATATGCTGCTCCAGTGGGTTGAGAAGCTTGGTGCCCATATCTGATCCATGATATGAAAGGGGGGAAATTTAGATTAGGTATTGGGAAGAAATTCCTCCCTGTGAGGGTGGTAAGGCCCTGGCACAAATTGCCCAGACAAGCTGTGGCTGTTCCATCCCTGGGAGTGTTCAAGGCCAGGCTGGATGGGACTTGGAGCAGCCAGTTCTAATGGAAGGTGGAACAAGATGGGCTGTAAGGTCCTTTGTAACCCAAACCACTCTAGGATTATGTAGATCAGGTGCCCAGGTGATTCTTTTGGATCAGGTGCTCAGGTGATGCCTTAAAGAACCTAGAAATAAAACAACATACCCCAGAGATAGTATTAGTATAGGAGGCAACACAAAGGCTGGTCTTCATTGGAGGCCTCCAGGGACAGATGTGGAAAAATACCCACGAAATGCCCACCCCCCATTGAGTGAATACAGTTTTAAAAGTTTAGCAAATCAGCATAATTGAAAAAAATCACCAGTTAGAAACATAAGAGGTGATGCCATTTTCCTTAGTCCAATCTTTGAATCCTGCCCATGTCCTCCCCCCACCTTCCTTAGATGAGAACTAAATGTTGTTTATGAAAATGTGTCTTGAAGAGCTGTTTTTTTGGCCTTGGTTCCCAGACAGAGCCAAGATAGGATAGGGGGCCTTGGAATGTGGGTTTTTTTCTGCCTAGGGAAAAGGTAGGGTAAAGTACTGGGAAAACTAGCCACAAATAGAACAATAGGCTACAAAGTTACAAATATATGTGTAAGAATACAGGGAATGTATAAAAGAAAACGGGCAAAAATCATTGGGCATCACAGGCAGTGTTTACTTCAGCACAAAAGGCAGCTGCCACAGCCAGTTTTTGTGCAACTGCTGAAGAACTTTGTAAGGGAATGATGCCTTGAGAGGCCACCTAGAACAGAGGCTAGAGTGTTAAAGGAATAAAGCAGGTATTTATTAAAAAGGCCTTCAAAGAATACACCTTTGGCAGTACAAGAGCCTGGCCGAGGCTACACCCATGTTGGACAACAGGTCACGTGTTTTCACACTTTTGTAAGTTTTGCCGCATTTGCATATTAGGGTTAATTGTCCAATTACAGCTTCAGGTTATGAAGTCCTATCCTCCAGATTGCTCTCCTCAATTTGCTGTTGTTTATACTTTTTGGGCCTGAAGCTGCAAAAGTGTCCTTGGTTCTCGGGCTGGAAAAGGATTGTTTGTCTAACTAAACTGTGAGGAGAGCTTGCTAACACTTCATAGGAAGTTCAGAGTTACATACTAATGCAGTACAGAATCTGGATAATATGAAAGTTAAAACTTAAGGCATCAGGAAAGGAGTATTGGGTGGTTAATGAAATCTGTGTGAGACTCATTTTTGAGTAAGCCCCCTCTGAAGAGCTGGTGGTATCTCTTGCTGTCACTCATTGGTCTGATCCTTGATTATTACTAAGTACTGCTTAGTACTTACTAAGTACCTGCTTAGGTTCTTTGGTTGGCATTAACATGGGAGGGCAAAGAATTCAGGCTGATGTTTGCCTGCCCTTGCCAACTGTGTGCCCGTTCTGAATGTATCATTCCTGCCACCAGTTTGCCTCAAATCACATTTCCTGCCTCCTGTGATTGCCAAGAGGTGATTCAGGGGAGTTAACATAATGTAAGGAGCTCTGGCTTTGCTCCCTCTCAATGTTTGTCAGCTTACTTGAAGCACTGAGAGAAGCAGGTAAGACCATAGGGTCACGCTCTTTCTCTGGACTGAAACCCTCCCCACTAACTATAGAGGAGGCTGATCAGTCTCTGTGAACACATTTAATGAGTTGTTTAATAGTCGACACCCATTGGGAAAGTCTGAGAGCCAGAGTCAATATAATTTACACACTACAGATCTCCCACTTTAGAAGAGTGTTTATATCATTTGATTAAGTGAAGAAAGCTGCCCTGTTCTCTTTTTGGGGTGATTGCACTGCCAAGACAAGAGTGCAAGGTCTGTTGTGCCAAAAAATCAGATTTTTTAAAACACTGTTTTCTTTCCTTATTTTAAGTTGTTACTAAGCATACTCTGTATGGATCTCCAAGAGCACTATTAGAAATGGTTTTGATTTATGGCATTTGCAGTCACTGTTACTTTAATATTTTGCATGAGCAAAAAATTGAGATTTGCAAATGGTTCAGCCAGCAGAGATCAGAATCAAAGATTCCCCGCTTTCATTTGCACAATTGCCCTTCACTGAGCTAAAGCAGAGGTGAATCCAGTCAGACCTGTGATTTCCTCATCTGGGCTGCCCACCAAAACATCTGACAAGACAGCCTTTGTTCTTATATTGTTCAGTAATCACGAGTTGTTTTTCTCCCTCCTTACTGCTAGAAACAATAATTTCACGTTTGCAGTCAAAGTGATAGTGAAATTGCTTTCTTCTAACTTCTAGCAACAGAACAAGTAACTTTGTTGCTCAGAGAGTGATGGTGTATACCCAGTTAGGGAAAGTTGAAGCTGACTATTGCATTTGCATCAATTACTGCAAGTGGTTTACTCACCAGAAGAGACGGTGTCTTGCATACCTAAAGGGAGTCCTGTCAATAAAGGAAATACTTCTTGATCTTTGTGGTATGTCTTGGAGAACTAATCCAAAGCAAAAGTAAATACATGTAAAAATACATATCCAAGGAGAACTTTCTTTGAGTGTGGAAGCACTGTCTGTGGAATGGTTGCTTTTCTGTTGTTATTATTTCGCTTTCATAAATCTACTCGAAACTCCCCCAGTGACCACAATAAATAAGAAGAATACTATATTTTGAAGGGAGGTGGAAAAGACAGCTATCTTAAAACCTGTCTAGAAAATGTTACGACTTTAGACTACAAGCACATCTCTTTGGTTTTTAATTTTTCTTTTTAAAAGCAAATTCTTTAGAATTAAGTAGTTAACATTTCATGAGCAACTGCGCTTCAATCTGCTCTGTGTGTGTGTGTGTGTGCGTGACAAAGGCAAGAATATATAAATTAAGGGAAAAGACTCCTGAATTTGATGGGGTGATGTTGAGTGGTGGGCAAAAGCAGAAAAATTTGATGGGGTGTTCCAAAGGAAGTTGTAAGGAACTTTCCCGAGCCTTGTATCAAGGTCACTCGCACTCACTTGGGCTCCAGTTTTGAGTATGGTTTGAAATTGTAAGGGATTTTGTTTTATCCTAAGATTATCTAATTCTTCTCCTTATGTGCAGATGTCAGAGATGGGTAGAGAACTGTCGAAGGGCAGATTTAGAAGATAAAACTCCAGATCAACTCAACAAGCATTACAGATTGTGTGCTAAACACTTTGAGACTTCTATGATATGCAGAAGTGTAAGTAAAAACAAGCATTTATTTACTGCACCTTGCAAAATGTGACTGACATTTTTCACCAGAATGCTGCCTTTTAATCTTTCAGCTCCTGGGTAACTTGTCCCTAGGAAAATTAATTTCTTAGTCTTAATTGGGATCACTGCCATTGTCTGGGGCTCCACACAGGCTCTCAGCCATTGAAAATGATAATGAAGATGAACAGTCAGAGGAGAGAGAAAAAGTGGTGCTCCTGGCAGTTTAATGTGCTTGTTGAACACTGTCCTTCACTGCAGTGCTTTCCTCGTTTCACTTGTTTCACTAGAGATTACAATACTATATAAGTTTATTGGGTGTAATTTTGCATATCTCTAATTATTTAAACTTATTAATGTCCTGTTCCTGAAGTGTGTACATGGTGTCATTTGGTTAAATTACACTCTGTTGTTGGCCACAAGATTTAAACACTCTTCACATCTGACAAGCTATAATTTCCTGTTAAATTTTCATCCGGCTAAAGTCAAGGCACTGTTTTCTGTTAATGAAATAATAGCTTTCAGTTCTTTTTGTCAACAATATGATTTTAACAGCTTGCATAAGACTAGGAAAGGGTAGACTTGGGACTGTATCAAGTTTTAATTTCTAGGCTGAATTTCACTATGGTACATAACCAAAATGGATCTTTTGGTTATGAAGGATAATTAAAATATGCAGGTCAAACTCTGAAGTTCTAGTGGTATTACACATGATGAGGTCTCTAATTAGCCAGCATCCCTGAAACAGATGAAAATTGGAAGTAATTATGACTCTGAAAGGAAACACTATGAAACTGGGTTTATTTGAAATGTATTTCTATCTAATGACAAGATGACATCAGTTACAATTTTGTACTTAGTAGAAATTAGCCAGTATAGGCAACGCAGGTTTACAGTATACCCAAATATAACATTTTACTTTAAATATTTTTTTTAACTGGGAGCACTTACATGATCATCTAGAAGTCTTTTCTTCTTTTTTTTTATTCACAGATAAATTTTCCCTCAATATGATCTTACACAGTAGTGCTTGGTGGACTTCATAGTTCTACAAAAAGAAGCAATTGAACATTTTCACAATGAAATGTTTCTAGAATTGTGAAATAAGTGATTAAACCCAAAACACAATAGTAACAAAATGTTTTCTTTCTGATGCATAACCGTCTTTTTATCCAGAATGTTTGTTTTTTTACAAAATCATAATATTGCAGTAAATTAAAATTATTGCATCCAGGGTCTTTGATATAAAGATAATGGGGACAAAAAAGAGGATTTGTAGTTTGGATTGGAGTTTTCTATAATATCTGTCTTCCTATTTTCAGTGTTCTCTTGATATCCCTGAAATGTAAATTGCATAGCTTACCTTTCTCTTTGGTAACATCAAAAAGTCAAAGTGCTTTAGAATAATAACATAAACAAGAAAAGAAGGAGAGAAAAAAAAGGGCAGTGTCTGAAATTTCTGAAAGAATTCCCTAGTTGAGATGTTTGTTTCTTTACAGAGCCCATACAGAACGGTTTTACGGGATAATGCTGTGCCAACTATATTTGATCTTACAAGTCACCTGAACAATCCCCACAGCAGACATAGGAAAAGGATAAAAGAGCTGGTAAGTTTTTAATGTAAAATTATTGGTTTATTATTAAAAGAAAAGATGACAAGTAAGTTAATGTGAAATTTTTACACAAAAATGTAAAATAAAAATATTTAGCCACTTGAGTGTTTGTATTTTATATGCTGCCTATTCCTGCATCTTTTTTGTTGATTGTAAGTTAAATGCATGATAAAAATTTTATCTAAGGAAATCTTGAAGAAATAATCTGGAAAATTAAATGTGTTGGTCCAGAGCTGATTCTTTCATCCAAATCAATTGTATAATTTTCTTTTCCTTGTTACTACAGTGCCAGCTGAACACAACTGAAGCTTGATACCCCAAAATTCCTGCTGCATGTTGATTGTGGTCTTTGGTTCACCCATTTAACTTCTGAAATCTGAATCAATTCAGACATGCATGTTTTAGCTTATTGTTGTGAAAAAATGATCCATGGATAAAACCAAGATTGAGAAATTTTTTTTGTGGGATTGTGTCTTGTGTGTCATTTAGGGGAGAAAGTGTCTCCATGGTTATAAGTATACTGACAATTAAGAGGAATGCCACTCCTAATCTCTGTTTATACTTGAAAAATTGCAGACAATTTCTAAATACTTCTTTGTGAGTTTGGTTGCATCTGTTGACTTAAAATGGAGTTAAAGATACTTCTGTCTACTGGCAGCACGTTTCCAAATTGCAATAGAATCTATTTACTAATAATTATACATATTGAAGAACCTCCTAATACAACTGTTCTCATGTAGTTAGTAGATACATGTCATGGCTGTAATAAACTACCTCAAGAAACCTCCTCGTGTTAGAATTTCTAGCACTTTTTGGCAAATGTTAACTGGTCTCATCTAGTATTTGTATCTGATCTTGAGATGCTAATATTTTAAGGTCAGGTGTTAGACATTGTCAACAATATTTTAAGGTCACGTGTTAGACATTATCAACTATATAAATTCTTTTTGTTTGTTTTTTTAAGAGTGAAGATGAAATAAGAACATTGAAGCAGCAAAAGAGTAAGTGATCAAAATAATTGAGATAATAACTTTATTTGCTAAGGCTGATGAGGTAATGCAGGACTCAAACTATTAGTTTATATATAGCAGGAAGATAATTTAGTTCCTTCTTGATTCAGCCAGCCAGTCTAAATTGTTTCCAAAATACTAATTTGCTTTTAAACTGGAAACATTCTTCTCTGGACTCTGGTAACTTAAAGGTAATGGACAAGTAAATGTTATATTTTATTTTTGACACTTACAGTGTTTTCATTTTGTAGTTGATGATGCTTTTGAACAGAAACAGGCAACTCCAGAATCAAATGAAAACAATGAGCAAAATACTGTCTCAGTGGAAGGAGAGGAAGAACAAGAGGAAAAAGCTGTTCCCTTAACACTGGAAGAAAGAGAAAACAAAGATTACCTGAAATCATTATTTGAAATTTTGATCTTAATGGGTAAACAGAATATTCCATTGGATGGCCATAATGTTGATGAACTTCCAGAAGGTATTTTTACTTCAGATAACTTTCAGGCTCTACTGGAATATAGAATAAATGGTGGCGATGAAGTTCTGAGGAAACGATTTGAGATGACTGCAGTCAACCTTGAGTATTGTTCAAAAACTCAGCAGAAACAAATGCTTGAGATCTGTGAAAACTGTGTTAGAGAGGAGACACTGAGGGAAGTAAGAGACTCGCACTTCTTTTCTATTGTCACCGATGAAGTAGTAGACATAGCAGGAGAGGAACATTTGCCAGTGCTGGTGAGGTTCGTTGATGATTCTCACAATCTAAGAGAAGAATTCATAGGGTTTTTACCATATGAGGCTGATCCTGAAATTTTAGCTGTTAAGTTCCACGCAACTATTACTGAAAAGTGGGGTCTAAACATGGAGTACTGTCGGGGTCAAGCCTACATTGTCTCCAGTGGATTTGCTTCTAAAATGAAAGTTGTGGCTACAAGACTCTTGGAAAAGTATCCACAAGCTGTGTATACGCTGTGTTCCTCATGTGCCTTAAATGTTTGGCTGGCAAAGTCTGTTCCTGTTGTTGGTGTTTCCATTGCATTAGGAACAATTGAAGAAGTTTGCTGTCTTTTTAACCAGTCTCCACAATTACTAGTAGAACTGGACAACACAATTTCTGCTCTTTTTCAGGACAATGATGAAAAGGGTAATGAGTTGAAGAAGATCTGCCGTTCTCACTGGACAGGCAGGCATGATACTTTTGAGGTATTAGTGGACCTCCTGCAAGCGCTGGTACTGTGCTTGGATGCTGTTAGCAGTGACTTTTCTGTCAGGTGGAACAACTTCATTGTTGGTCGAGCATTTGTACTTTCAAGTGCACTAACAGATTTTGATTTCATTGTCACTATTGTAATTATGAAAAATGTTCTGTCTTTTACAAGAGCATTTGGAAAAAATCTCCAGGGACAAACATCAGATGTGTTCTTTGCAGCTGGCAGCTTAACAGCAGTATTGCACTCTCTGAATGAAGTGATGGAGAATATTGAAGTTTACCATGAATTTTGGTTTGAGGAAGCCACAAATTTGGCTACAAAACTGGATGTACAAATTAAACTCCCAGGAAAATTTCTCAGGGCACAACAGGGGAACTTCGACCCTGATATGACATCAGAAAATTACTACAAAGAAATCCTAAGTGTCCCAACAATAGAGCACATTATTCAAGAATTAAAAGATATTTTCTCAGAACAACATTTAAAAGCTCTTAAATGTTTATCATTAGTGCCCTCAGTCATGGGACAGCTCAAATTCAATACGTCTGAGGAGCATCATGCTGACATGTTCAAAAATGACTTGCCCAATCCAGACACACTTTCTGCTGAGCTTCACTGTTGGAGAATCAAGTGGAAGCACAGAGGAAAAGATATTGAACTTCCAGCTACTATTTATGAAGCACTTCACTTGCCTGACATAAAGTTTTTCCCTAATGTTTATGCATTGCTTAAAGTCTTGTGCTTACTTCCAGTGATGAAGGTGGAGAATGAGAAATACGGAATAGGACGAAAGCGCTTAAAGGCATACCTGAAAAACACCTTGACAGGGCAAAGGTCAAGCAACCTTGCTTTGCTGAACATAAACCTTGACATAAAACATGACTTAGATTTGATGGTGGACACTTACATTAAACTCTATCCAGATAAAGTGGAATTTCAAGACTGTACTCCTTCAAACAATTCTGAAGTAACAGATGATGCCTAACGTTTTAAGCTCCAACCAATCTGTTGAAACAGCTTCTTCTTAATTAAGTTTCAAAGCTGGGGAGAAAAACTGGTGAAATCTTAAAAAATCACTGCAATTGTGTTTTCATTTTAGGCCTTGGGCTGAACAAGCTGTTGTCAAAGACCTAAATTATGTGTTATTAGTCCATACTAAATGTGTTTGGCAAACAAAATCAAGCCTGACACAAGCCCATGCTCTTGGCAGAGGTGCTTTCTACATCTGATTGGCTTAACTAGGTGCTCGTTTACTTTATTGCGTCATGAAAAAAGTACATTATGATTGTAGATCTGATGGGGCTGTTACATATTCACTGATTAATTAGGATAAGAAAGAAATTCAGACTATTAAAAAGAGTATAATCTATTTCAGTTCTGTTACTTAGGATTTTTTTAAAAACCCCAAACTTTTAAGAAAAATCTTTGATGTATATTTAAGTGGCATTTTGGAGAGTGGATTCAGCTATTGCACGATCCCCATGCTGTGGACAGGTCTCAGTGTAAAGTGAATGTCAGTGATATAGGGGTACATTTATGGTTTTGTTGGAAGAGTCAGCCTCTTTAATCTCTTGATGACTGTTTACATTCCTTTGTGTCAGACACAAAAGTTTTTTCTTTAGGCTTAACAGGCATGGCAGGAGTATTTAAGTTCTTAAAAGACAATAAAAACTTAAAATTTATTCCACAAACGTTTGAATCTGTTTGCTCTGCCCCAACTCTGATGCAAACACCATCCATCTTATAGTATGTTTATTTGGAAACTCATTCTGGAAAGATTAAAATAAGAGTTTGTTGTTTGTCTAGAAGTAAGATTGGAAATATTGCTGTTATTTTTGGTCAGAATGAAACATTTTTGTACAGTTTATGGAAATTTAAAATAAAATGTGAATTGCTTTTTACGTAGCATTGGATTTCCTAGTAAAGCTGTGCCTCAAATGTATTCTGTAAAGATGCCTTTTTATTTTAGCAATTTTTATTTCATTGTTTCTGCAATTCTAGTGAGCGGCATTTTCTGAAGACAGAGGAAACTGTGTGATAGTACCACTAATCTGCATGTTCTGCAAGGTTTTTTAAAGTATTTTGAGATAGCACTAACTACAGTGCTTTCACTGTAGAAGTTCTGACAATCAGGCAGAAATTAAATTTGAAATGGTTCAAAAGTAAAGTTTTGCAGCTGTCCTGATGCATGACAGGTTTATAACTTATTTATCAAATCAAAAATCAAATGGCTTGGGCTGGAAGGAATCTTAAAGCTCATCTATTTCCACCCCCTGCCATGGGCAGGGACACCTTCCACTAGACCAGGTTGCTTCAAGCCACGTCCAGCCTGGCCTTGAACGCTTCCAGGCATGGGGCAGCCACAGTGTCTCTGGGCAACCTGTGCCAGGGCCTCACTGCCCTCACAGCCAAGGATTTCCTCTGCTATATAATGTAAATTTCCTCTCTTTTAGCTAGCCCATGGCAGGGGGGTGGATTGAGATGGTCTGTAAGGTCCCTTCCTACCCAGGTCATTCTGGGATTCTGTGATTGGTCTATGATGAGGAGGAGCAAAGGCATAGCAGGTTGCAGTGATAAGTGCCCCTTCACCAGGAGAGGTTTCTGTGGAGGAAAACAATTTACTGAAACTAGTGTTTCCCATCTGATTTCTAGGGGTGCACAGAAAGAAGGCAACTGTAGTGTAATCCAGTTACACAATTTTGCTATAGCAGGTCTGAGACTGATAAAAATGTGTCTGAAATTGAAACAATCACTAAAGATAAAAGTTCACTTTGTTGAACAGATTCTGGAGACAGGGAATTACAGTTTTTAAATAGTCTGTCAATTCAGGGCAGTATATATTTCCAAGGTGTATGTGAGGTATTTACCTTAGTTTGACCTGGCATTTTGGCCCATTCTATGTAATAATGTAATTGGTCTGTTAAAATTAGTGTAAGTGTTGCTGCTCAGATATAATTTTTAGTGAAAGTAGATTTCCATAGCTGCTCAGCCTATCATGCTCTGCGAAAGTAATGTTTGTTTTAATAAACAAAATGTATTTCCTCTTCCCATGCACAGAATTCCTGCTAGAAACCAGTATTGATACTTGGAAAAAGAGCATGTATCATTTTGTCTCCTGTAGTGTTATTTCTGTCATTATCTTCAGAAACCCTATATCCACTTGTTCAGGTGCCAAGGTTGTGCTGTAAAGAAGTGGAGGAGCAGAACCACTTAAGGATTCTAGATGCAACTGTTCTGTCTTCCACAATCACTTTCTGTGCAACAGTGCAAAATCTCAGAGTGGCCAGAAACATCCCAATTACTCTTAAGCAGAGGAAAATAAATCTTTTTATTGTATGTTTCAAGAAACAGCCACTAACCTAGAATAAAAATAGGTGTTATCCCAAAGAAGCTTAGTAGTCCATCATTTCCAGACCTGTTGTGCTCTCTACTTTCCCTAAGGAAAACAGTTCCAACAAGGAATAGGAATCTCCCCAACATTTTGCCTAAATGTAATTAGTGAGACATCAGAAAAAAAAAAAAAAGAGTTGGAAGTTTTAAACACATCTACAGCAGTTTCAAAACACGTGCATGCTCTTTATAAGCTTTCTTTACTTTGAAAAATAACACTGTTAATCAAATAGAATTCAATGTGCATGTTCTGTGACACAGTAATTGTTCATTTGATTTTTGCCATATTGTGCAGTATTTCTAATTATTTATTTTCCTGCAGCAAACTTGCTTTTTTCTAAAAACCATGCCTGTAGGTCTTCTGTTTAAGCTGGCAAGAGTTGTCCCTGGAGGTGTCCTTGTAGTCAATGCGAGTACAAGTGCAGTTTGTTCAGGGAGATAGAGAAGCAGCAGTGACAGAGCAGATGTCCCTGTAATCCCCTATTCCTCTGTTTTGTAGTATCCCAAAGTTAAATATATCAGTGAGTAAACTGGCCATGTGACTGCTCATGTGATCTTTAAAGGATACTCTTGTGTTGCTCCCAGTGCCCCCTTCCCCCCATGCATGTTAGCTGACATAAATATCCTAGGAAGAAATTTGTTTTCTAGTTGTAGAACTTGAGGTGAAGAGTAGATGATGGCTGTTAGCATCCCCCAAGTCCACCCAGGCAATATATAAACCTTCCTCAAACCCTCACAGGCTCCAAAGAGCAACACTATAATAAAAATATGTTTTTCAAAAATAGTTTATATAAGCACCTACTTGGGTGCCTTCTTGCTGTGATACCATGCTCTGAGCCTGGCACATGGAGTCCCAGCTGGAGCCCAGGCTTCCCTTAAAGCACCCAAGAGAGGGGCCTGTGGCAGCTTCAGCTTTATTAAAAGGTGCTAAGAAACACTGATTTACATTTTAAAATGAAGACCCCTCTGAAAGCCAGTGCTGGAGGAAGCTCAGCATGTCTGCCAATAGTTTCAGGTGTCTCATGGCATCTTTTTCACTGAGAGGGGACCATGGAGTCTCTCATCATCTGTGGCAGTCTACAGTTGGAGTTGTAGACTGCTAGGACCACATACAGCACTGTTAGAGTGAAAATTCAGCTTGTCACTTCTTCAGCCAGCAAACATCTGAGGATCTTGGCAAAGGAGTGTCTTTCCTTGCCCCTGGAAGAACCTATAGATCAGCAAGAGAATACCTTTTGCATGACCCCCAGACCACAGGGTGATTTCTTAGCAAGTAGATTCTGGCAGCCAAGAGTCTTCAGAATCTGTTGTCACCAGGACACAGAGATTGAGGAAAAGAACTCACCAGGACCTTGTTGTTTTTGGTTTTTTTTTTTTTCTGTCTTACTCCTGGAACACCACTTCAGTCTTTATAGCTGTTTCTTAGTTAAGCATTTCCTGAAAGCTCCTACTGTACACAGACACTTCTGTATAGTAAGCAGTTGCTATCTTGATGAAAGAAGGATACTTGGGAACTACTGGAAATGGATTTGGGTCATTAGAGAAGTGGGAGAGGGATGGGGAGAGGTCAAGGGCACCATTTCATTGGTAGAGTGATGCTGGAAGCTGGTGTAAATTCTGTACCAGAACAAAAATGGAGTCCTGGTCTTCTCCATCTCCACCTGCAGTGGTGTCAGTCCTCATTCTTTGCACCCTTCAAGCAGGACACTCCAGTAGAATCTGGATGCAGTTTCCCATCTGAAAGTGCAACATTCTTCTTGAGAAACTTCAAGGAAAGAAAAGTGCTGAAAATGCAGACACAGTTGTTTTCTCTCCTTTTTGCTTCTCCAAGGTATGCGTAATCCTGAACACTTTTGCTGGTGTGGTCCTCCAAGTCTTACTGGTCTTCTTTTCTTCCACAACTACTGATATGCAGAGAGCTGCAAGGAGGACAGGTCCTTCTCCAAATCTAGGTGCTATTTTTCTGTGCTTGCATGCCCCATAGTTTTGTGCCCAACTTGCTGCCCTCTGAGGTCATGTGTTACGAATGTCAGTGTTCTTATCTGCCTGTGTTTTACATTTCCCATTTTGGAGACCTATTGAAAGGCTGTGGGTTGCATAAATTGTTTAGCACTACCCCTCTCTGGAGCTTGAAAGGTGCAAGCTGGAAAAAAGGACCTTGACTGTGAAATGCACAATCAAAGGCAGGAAAAAACACAGACTTTGAAAATCGCCATTCAGGAACAAAATTCAGCATCTGAATAGAGCACTGGGGCTATTCTTGTTTAGCTGCCTTGATATTTTATTTCATTCCCCAGGTGGTTTTCTGTAGATACTGGGAAACCTAAATCTTTCCAAACAATTTCAAAATTTGCCTTTTTGATAATCCACTCATTTTAATGGTGGATTGGAGAATAGAAAAATCAGACTACTACATTTCAGCTATTAGATATTACATGTGCTGTATTTTTTCCAACTTCACACCTTTTCATTTCTCCTTCCCAAATTCAGGCCAACAGTCCTCCATTTTCTTTGTCTACAAAGTAACCTTTGCTTCTCAATTTCAGTGCACATGTTGATCAGTCATTGCTTTTGATCTTTACAAGACTTTTTTTTTATTCTGACCAGGATATATTTGCAAGGTATGTTGGGTTAGGTTCACTGTTGAAATAAACAAACCCATAATTTTTCTCACCTAGTGTTCTGTTTTTCCCCTCATCCTAAAATAATGCTTTTATGGAACCCAAATGTAGATAAGTGGCAAGTTTCTCTTCACTTTTTTCAAACACAATATTCTTCAAATATTAAGTAAAGATTTGTGCTTTCCTCCTGTAACCTTGCCTGTTCAGGGAGCTACACTTTGGGGATAAGGTGACCTTACACATCTCAAACTGATGAAAAGATGTTCTAGGCTTTACACTGGCATGTCTCTTTGTCCTCTCTGCTCTGGCTCTTAGCTTTTAAAATGCTGATTTGTATCATTATGTGCCACGACCTACTAATCTGCATGAATGGTAAGTCTTGCTGAGCATGGACTGCTTTGGTGTCATACAGGTCTCTGATCTTTGTAGGCACTTCAACCTGTGCTCGGCTCATGGTCCAAGGAGACTGGAAACCAGGAACCTGCAGTTGAATTATTGAATCCCAGACTAGTTTGAGTTGAAAGGAACCTTAAAGTTCATCCATTTCCACCCCCTGCCATGGGCAGGGACACCTTCCACTACACCTGGTTGCTCCAAGCCTCATCCAAACTGGCCTTGAACACTTCCAGGGATGGGATAACCACAGCTTCTCTGGGAAACCTGTGCCAGGGCCTCAACACCCTCACAGCCAAGAATTTGTTCCCCACAGCCCATCTAATCCCTCCCTCTGGCAGTGTGAAGCCACTCCCCCTTGTCATGTCACCTCAGGCCCTCATCCAGAGTCCCTCTCCAGCTCTCCTGGAGCCCATTTAGGCTGTGTCAGGGGCTCTGAGATCTCCCTGGAGCCATCTCTTCTCCAGGCTGAACAGCCCCAGCTCTCCCAGCCTGTCTCCAGAGCAGAGGCGATCCAAATGTGGTATAACTTTCCAGA